TGTAGAATTTGATAAGAGGGAAAAAATATTCTGTATATTGAATTGTTCTCCTAAGTACAAGGAGTTTCTCCTTTATTTATAGGAGAGGATAAAGACCAAAACACAAAAGGAATTCTATTCCTACAAGGAAACAAATCACTAAATATGAACAAGGAAACAAATCAAGAGCAATCCCACTTAGAATGGGATTTGCTCTCCTTCTTGCCGTGTGGTCCAAGGAGCACCGCCCAACACAAGGCGGCCATGGAGGCCTTCGTCGCCAAGCTCTTCGCCGCCATTTCCTCTCTGAAAGCCGCTTACGCCGAGCTCCAGATTTCGCAGTTCCCTTTCAACAGTGAGGCCGTCCAGTCTGCAGATCTAGCCGTGGTGGGTGAGCTCAAGTCCATCTCCGAGCTCAAGCGCAGATTTCTCAAGAACCAGGTCGATTCCTCTTCCCCTCCTCATGTCTCCCTCATGATTTCCGAGATTCGAGAACAGCAGTCCCTGATGAAGACGTACGAGATCACCATGAGGAAAATGCAGGGCGAGATCGAGAGGAAAACGGCCATGGCCTCTTCCCTCCGGAGCGAGCTTGAGGAAATTGCGGCGGGGAACAGATCCCTCGAGGGGAAGATGAACGCCGCCGCCGGGTCCTTCGATGGGGTGGGGTTTTCCGATGTGAACACCAGAGATTTCGTCGCCGTTCTTCAGTATGCTGTGAGATCTGTCAGGCATTTCGTCAAACACCTTGTCCGCAACATGGAGGCTGCCCACTGGGACATCGACGGCGCAACGGCTGCGATTCACAAGACGGCCTCGTTCCGGAAGAAAAGCCACCGGGCTTTCGCCTTCGAATCTTTCGTCTGCAGAGAGATGTTCACCGGGTTCGAGGACCCCTGCTTTTCTGTACAGAGTGATCCCTGTTCGTCGCCGGAGAAACAGAGGACTTTCTTCTTCGACCAGTTCAAACAGTTGAGATCTGCGAGTGCGGCTCAGTTCCTGAAGCAGAACCCTTCCTCTGTTTTCGCGAGGTTCTTGAAGGCGAAATACCTTCACTTGGTTCATCCCAAGATGGAGTATTCGTTCTCCGGGAACTTGACCCAACGGAAAACGGTGAACTCCGGCGACTTCCCGGAAACCGATTTCTTCGGGGCGTTTTCCGAGATGGGGAGGAGGGTTTGGCTCTTGCATTGCCTCGCCTTCTCTTTCAATCAACACGTCGGCGTTTTCCAGGTGAGGAAGGGGGCTAAGTTCTCGGAGGTTTACATGGAGAGCGTCACGGACGAGATTTTCCCCGGCGCCGGCGAGTTCCGGGCGGCGTTCACGGTGGTTCCCGGGTTCAAACTCGGAAAAATGGTGGTCCAAAGCCAGGTATACCTCTCTCCGGTTAAGAACTAGCGTTCAACGGGCTTTCTTCCGTCGCGTTTTCCCGGTGGCTGGTTAACAACGCGCCGCCGCTTTTATGGTGTCGCCGGCCACCGAATTTTCTCCCGACGCGGCGATGTAAGTAAATTGCCAGATCTACTGTGTAATAGCATGAAGAAATCGTGTTTAATAAATTATGTTAATTACAGAGTAGCATTATAATTACTTATATTTTGAGGGACCAGAAACGAAATTCCATTTTGAAGTGGCCGGAGAACGGGCAGTTCTTGTAAAATGTAGCCGTTGGGCACGGAGGCGCGTGGGTGGAGCGTGGACGGTCAAAGATGGAAATGTATTGGGAAATGTGTGGGGCAGGAGCCCAGCATATAAATGGGCTTTGGGCCCACATGTGAAAGTGGTTTAGTCAGGCCTGCATGAATGAACTGGATTTTTTTGTTGTATATTGTAAAAGAAGTAAAGGGAGGTGTATATGTGGGGCCCAAGGAGAAAGCCCTTGTCTTTGTTTTCAAGTGGTTAAAATTTAAAGGGGATGATGACTCAGTGGGCCCAGCAGAAAGGGAAAGAAATGTCCACAAGATTTTTCTAATTTTGTACCCTCCAAGTGTTTGGTATTTTCAAAATGTAGCCAAACAATGGCACCCCAAAAACTCATAGCCCATATTAACTTCTTCATGTGTATAAAACACTAGCTCATGAATTGTAAATCATATGATCTTTTGCTTAGTTCCACTTATCTATATGTGCTTATATTGTGGTCCCTAACTTCTTTTTCTTCCTCTTGTTTGGTTTTGTTTAGATTGGATGTCTTTTTATCTATTGTGCACATGTTTCTCGTAGATCTTTTCATTGTGAGTTAATAGATTTGACTGATTTTATTTTTAATTAAATTTATTTGATTGTAAATGTAGAAATTAAAAATTTTATTTGTATAGTGATAATTTACGTGAAAAATTCTACAAAATAAGTGGTGGTAAGATTATATTAGGTAAGTTTGATCTTGTGAATAATATCTGGAAAGCTATCTATATGAGAAACCGAAAAAATATATCATCGGTCTAATAAAAAATTACTTTCCATTTTAAGTAATTATTTTTAATTGATACTTCCTCCGTCTAATAAAAATGTTTCCATTTTGACTTTTAAAAAATTTAAGAGTGATATTTTTTGTATTGATTTTCTAAAAAAACTTTTGATGTGATGAATAAAAAGTATGACGTGCTGGATAGATTATTTGTAAAAATGTATAATATGATAGGTAAGTTAAGAATTAGTCAGAATAAAAGTGATTTTTAAAAGAAAAGAAAGTATTTAGTGGGACAAAAAAAAAGGAGAATGAAGTTTTTGATAGTATATTTCTCTCTTCTCTACATAGTTTTGAACTATAGAATTTTATCATTTTAAATAATTGTGTTCATTCTATTGTAAAGTGTTTTTCGTGTGATTAAGAAAGTAGTTCGTTCATAGTCTTCATACCTCTTTCTCACTCAACACCTACAACTCTACAAGTGTAGTCTTGTCTTAATTAATGATGTGGATTTGTTGGGTCAATGGGTTGATGAGTTATATTGATTGTTTTCTCTTGCTTCATTTTGATTCTACCCTAACATCCACCTCCCATCAAGGATTCTTTAGATCCTTGAGCCAAAATATTTGATTTTTTTGTAAAAATGAATCTCATTCTAGGGTCCTCTCTTGAGGATTCAGAAAATTGATCTAGACAATATTTTAGTTTTAAAATGATAAATATAGGAAATTTGATTGTATTTGTACTTGCAACCACCAACTTATTTTTTTTAAGTATTTGGAGGGGTGGTCCAAAATGACTTTCAAAGGTTAAGGAATGAGACAAGAGTCTCACCTTCCTCTATCTTAAAATAATTTGTTTATACCTTCAAAAAATAATTTTGATTTAATTTTTTGATAGAAAAATATTAAAAAGATGTTGAAATTTGAAAATTTTAGTAACTAGAATTTGTTTAAAGGAGAGACAAAACATATTCTATTAAAATAAAAAATTTATTTTGAGACAGATAAAAAAAGTGGGCGAAGGGAGTATTTGATGAGATTTGGAAAGATTCTTTTATGTACAAAATACTGATGTAATTGTAAGTATTAAAGTTGGAATCTCATTTGTTGTCTTTGTTTGTTTTATTTTAAAAATAAATAAAAAGAAAGAGAGGAAAAGAAAGAAGAATAAAAGGGTAGGTTCCCATTCAAATAACAGGACATGATGTGTGGATGGAGGGATATGGGCTGATAATGTTGTTTAGTGTTTGGTGACTATTTTGGTGTAATTTATTCCTTCTTTCCAAATTTATTTGTTCATTTTTACTTTTTACACCTTCGGTTCCAAATTAAATTTTCGGGTTTGTTTTATAATATATGTGACTAAAATTAATTTTAATTTCATTTATTTGAAAATTCTGGTAGAATTTAAAAATAAATATTACATATTTAAAAACTATTCTATCCGTCCCAAATTTATTTACCTTTTTCGAAAATGTAAAAAATTCTCTTTTTTAAAATAGTTTTATCTTAAAATTGGTATGATAATAAAAAGTATAAATTACATATTTAAAGAATGTATCAAAATTTCTACAAAACAAGTACGACAAGAATATTTATTTTATCAAATGACCAATGAAAAACAAATTAAACGAGTAAACAAAAGTTATCGGAAGACTCAAATAGTAAAAGTGTAAATAATTTTAGGATGGAAAGAGTATATCAAAAACTCTACGATATAGTTTTTAAATATATAAATTTTATTTAATATTAATTACGTATCAATTTTCAAATAACCTGAATTAAAAATAATATCAAAAGCTCTACAATATAGTTTTTAAATACATAAATTTTATTTATTAATTACGTATCAAGTTTCAAATAAACTGAATTAAAAATAACTTCAGTCAAACCTCGTAAACAACAACATGCGATTCTTTTTTAGACGGAACGAGTAATATTCTTGTTCTTATTATTACGGAGTACTATATGATTACAAAATAAAGAAAAATATCGCTAGCATATATATAGAGGGCTGAAGCCCTACCCATCAACTTAAGTTTTTGGGCTAGAAAGTATATCTTGACTTTATAAGCAAATGATTAATTTTATCCGACATTCTGTCCATTATTCCTGGCCTACGAAATTTTAACATGGTATTAGGACACGTCCGGTAAAAGTTTAATTCTTCCAGGTTGTTTAATTTGGGTGTGGGTTTAGCAGTATAATTTTTATTATTGTTGGAGTTCCTACTTTAGAGAACAAAAAGAAATATCTCTAGCATATATACAAGGCTAAAACTTTACCATTTGTCTAAGCTTTTAAGTCAAAGAGGGGACCTTGACTTTATATCCAAGAGGTTATTCATTCTCGTGATGTCCCAAACTTGATTAGACCTTTGTCTCAAAAGAATTTGTACGAGTCTTACAAATTTAAGAAATATATTTAAAAGTGAAAAATAAGTTGTTAATAAATATTTGTATAGAAGAGAAACATGTGAAACTCTTTTTTTTCAATTTCAACTAATCAAAATTTTACTTCCACCTCAACTCATCAAAATAATGCACACGTTTACACTCTATTTTTATTACTTGAGGTCAGACTTATTTACACATTTACACCCCGTCAAATACTCAAATCTCACCATAACACATGACTTAAGTTTGCACATTTGACAATAAAATTTTATTTATATACTAATAAAAAAATATATCTATTAAAAATTAAAATTCAAACAGGACGAACATATTAAAAATATTTTTACTTTTTTAGGGAGTAATAATTTTGAGAAATAGAGAGCATGAATTCCTTTTCTACCCTGGGCCCTTAAGAAGGCCTACATTACATGGACACGTTCCTGGGCCCTTTAATCTCCTTTCACATGCGCCTCTATTCACATTCATTTTTCTTTTGTCCCAAAAATTTAAGCAATTTTGCGGGCCGGCACCGGCACCCATCACGCGACCCCGGCCAAATTGGTTCCATGGGGGAGAATGAAAGAGCAATCCAAAGAGTGGATGGTTAAGGGTTCGGTGCCAAATTTTTATTCTAATTTTTGGGAAATTTTTAAGTCTTAAACTCTTAAGGTTCCTATTCATTTTATGAATTACTTCCTCTGTCCTAAAACTTTCTTCCCACTTTCTTTTTTTCTCTGTCCTAAAACTACCTTCCCATTAGAAAAAAAGATGACAAATGACATTAATACCCTCATGTATTTACACCAATTATCTTCCAACTCTATAATTTGAATGATTGTAAAAAAAAATTCAAAAAATCTTTTTTAAGGATGGTAAAATTTGAAGTCAAAGTCAAAAATTAAAAATGGGGAAAAGTCAAACTGGGAAGAAAGAATTAGGACGGAGGGAGTATATTATATAGACAACATAAAAAATTAAGTTTTTTTATGAAAAATAAAATATTTTCTAGTGAGCTCATGAAAAATATGAAAAAGTTTACCCGACACTCCACCTGTTGTTCTCGATCCACTTGAGAACGGGTGGAGTGTCGTGTAAAATTAATCGCTTACATATAAAGTCAAAATCCACTATTCTAACTTAAAAGCTTAAGCTGATAGGTAAAACTTCATCCTTCTATATATGCTAGTGGTATTATTATTATTATTATTATTATTGTTATTATTATTATTATTATTATTATTATTATTATTACTCCGTATTATTTAATATCACATGTGGACTTTAGAAGCATAAAAACACAATTCCTAATTTTCTAGTATTTCGTTATTTAAAAAGGCAAAATGAATTCATTTTTTAAACATATTTTTATTAAACATTTAATAATATAAAATACTTCTATCAAAATTACTCGAAGTGTTTTTCAGCATATTAATATTATTAAGTTGTTCTACACCAATTTTTGTATAAATTAAATTAAAAATAACTTAAATCAAACATCGTACTTTTAGAGTGACAATAAACACTCTTTTAACCCATAATATTCATCCCTTTGACCCTATCATGCTTCGATAGCCCCAGAAATAATTCCCAACCTATCAAAAGTCTCCCCCATTCCTCCCACTCTTACCCTCCCCAAAAATGCTATATGGTGTTATTGTAGCATTTCAATATTTTGGAGAGGAGACGTTAGGTAGGAAAAATGGGGGTTTGGAGGAATTAGAGGAGATAGGAATCACTTTCGAGTCCATTGAAACAGTGTAAATTTAAAAATTGATATTCAATGTAATAAGAAACAAACAGTACCACAAACAAATAAAGCTAGAGCCTAATAAGTAATAATCATTCTACTTTATTGTGAAGTTGATCGGGGAACTAACTCCATTTGTTTTGAAGCATAAAAACAATGAATTGAACCAACAAGGGACACCACTTATAGCATCATTTACAATGGAACCAATCCAAGAATATCAGTCCTACCCAAAACCCAATTCTAAAAACATTTTCTTCTCAAAAACAAAAACCAACAACACATTGTACAAAACACTTGCTTCTAGTCTGCACTTCTCAGATTCCGGCGGAAGAAGCTTCTAGAGACAGAGCGGCCGCGGGGCCCGACTCCCGCGCGAGAGCTTCTAGAACATGAATCACCTCCGCCGCG